GCTTTCTGTTCATCCAAAAATATACTGTGGTCCAATGTGCCCTCTTGATGTGTACAAGTTTCATGGTCACAGTATGTAGACTCTTGTCTAGTTGCATTTTGAAAGCACAAGTGTTAATTTTTATGTTCACAATTATCTGCCGACAAAAAATACAGTTTTTTTCGCACATGTTTGAATGAGTCATATTTAAGCTTTTAATTGTACCTTTTAGTTGTTCCCTTACTAAGAGCAGGCCCGTAGTTTTGGCTCACGCGGTTTGGGCCACTTGCTCATCGTAGCCCAAATGAGTCTCCCTGACGTTGAAGTTAGGGGAGCATTTGAGTCGTGTGGCGGTGAAGAGGTGGGCTCAGTTGCATAAAACAAAAGATCGAACAAAACAGTAAATTTTACAATTTTTCCTCTAACATGGAGACTAATTTATCTTACCTTACCATTACACATGCTATGAGCTTTTACTTTCCAAGGCATCCAAATTGTTCGTGTGTAGAGCAGTAAACAAGCCGAGCGGAGCACAAGCTCCTTATACTCCAACTCGAGCCTTTATTGAGTTGAATTGAGCTCGACTTGTTAGATAATCGAGCTGATAAGTTGGAACTCGACTCGTTTATCAAAATTAACAGGCTGATCTCAAGCATCAACGAGTCAAGATAAGCTAATAGTTTAGAAAACTACGTGAAAACATTTTTCGACCTGAGTCGAGCTCAACTCGTTAACTGAAAGATTGAACTTGGCTCGTTTATCAAACGAGCTGTTCGATTTTCCCTTACTGCCAAGCAATTTTCAGCTTTCACCTTGAAAGGCATCCAAAATGTTTGGCACTACAGTTACGAGAACCCCAATTGCCATACAATTTTCGCCCCCTTCTGGCCACTGGTGTCCTAATCCCCATTAGATATTGAAAAGGAACTCTGAAATTATTGTTGAAATTTATTGCATTTGGGGTATTTTTTTAATTTTTTCTTTCGGGTCCCGTAAATTTCTCAATAGTTTTCAATATTTTATTCGGTTACACCAAATATTTTATTCGATTACACCACTACTAAGCACAATTATTTGGTTTTGTGTTTCTAAGCTTGATTATAATGTTCTTTTTTAATATCCATAAGTTTGAATATGAAATTTAATTTGTGTTGAGCTTTTATTATCCAAAAGAAGAATATAATGATATGAGAATAGGATAACTCTTATATTGTTTAACTACTTTAAATATAAAATATATTGATAAATCTATGTGTATGAGATATAAAAGATATCTTAGGTAGTTGGTAAGGAGTTAACACTGATCAAAATCAATGTTGATTGAATCGGACTTTTTTTAGTTCATTTTAAATCTAAATCTAACTCAACCACACTATCATCAATTGATATAACTAAATAACATCGATTATCTCTCTTCTATTCATGAATTCACATATTACTAATTACTTATCACTTTAATAATCTATCTTCTACTTTTGCATCTATTAATTTTAATTATTACATTTTAAATATTATTTAATTACAATCTCTCTGATCCTACTTAATTTATTTTATCCGAGTTGGATCGGGTTCAAGTGGGTCCGACCCGGCCAAACCATATCGACTCTACCTAGACTTGGTCTGGTCAGCTAGGTTTGATTCAACCAATTTGTTTTTAATATGTAAATATTTATCTCAGAAAACAACACTATTAAATTTTGAGATCTAAAATTTATATTTAAATTATTTTCTATGCATATTTGTAAAAGAAAAAAAAATATAGTTATAATTTTAAGACTTTTAAAATTAATTACTCGACTCAACAACTAACTGATCACTGGTAACCGGACCGGGTTTGAAAACGTTGCCCCAAAGGACAAAAATGTGATCTAATAGCAATTAGCAATTTCTCGTGGCCTCAAACGCAATTTAACAATATTAGTGTGGTATTATATATCAAACGGACACTCAATCGCTGTTACTCAAAAGTGTGTATTGCATGAAGTGAAACTCCCAAAAAAAAGGGGGAAACCCGAGATCGGAAAAAAAAAAAAAACAATTAAAAGAAAACTCTCCGATCTCGATGCTGCAATTTCTGTTCACTGCGGCCTTCGCGGCGGCGCCGCTCATGCTCTACATTCCGCCGGTACGCAGCCTCAATTCCTTCCTTCAGACGGCCGAGATCCTATTTTCCGGCGCCATTTCGTACGGCCTCGTAGTCTGCCCGATCCTGCGCGACGTCGTTTCGATTTTCCGACAACCCCGATTCACCATCGCCAGAAGCTAGGTTTTCGATTCTCCGAGTTTAATCGGTAATTTGTTTTATTTAATTGTAATTTTCATGTGTATTTGAATGTTATACGGTGAAACCCATATCGGCAGGCCTCTTTGGACATGTTTTGCATCTGCTTTGGGTGCTTGTACTCTAATCATGTACTTGATTGTACATTGGAAATTGGAATGTATAACTATTTCAAGTGTGTCTCTACTCTCTACTTCTCTTTGAAGTTCAATCATTCGTCTGAAGTTGTTAAAAGTTTGTCTGCTCGTTAATGCTCGAGCTCAGTATGTTACGGCTTACAAAAAAAGTAGATTTCGAGCTCGTTTATCAGCTCGTAAACTTCGTGAGCCAAACTCGGCTCGAGTCGGACCTCGAGTATCAGGAGCTCGACACGGCGGGCTTGGCTTGTTTATAGCTCTAATCCATATTAACTTCCTTATCTAATAAGATCTTCTCTTTTTTTCTTTTTTTTTTTTGGGAGAATTATGTGGAAAAAAATCAAAACATGTGATTGGTTTGTGGTTTGAGTTTATGGGTGCACATTATAGTTTATGAATTCAATTTCATAAGAAATATTCGTGTAGTCTAAATTTATTGAAGTGGTTCGTGTAGTCTAAATCAAAATCTCTATTTGCTCAGACGTCACCAATATTATTATTATTAAAAGGAGGGTGAAAACAAAGGAGGCTTATTATTATTATTATTATTATTATTATTATTATTATTATTATTATTATTATTATTGTTGTTGTTGTTGTTGTTTGAAGACATCAATTATCAAATCTAAATTCTAAAATTAGCTAAACGTAAACTGCCACAAAGCAAAAGATAAGAAGATAAAAAATAAATGCAAATCATTGACAAATAATTGTATACGCGTACATTATATACAGTAATATTTCTCTACCCACGGTGGCGCATGTTAATATGTCCAACGATGGGTATATTAACATGTGCTCATCGTGAGTAGGGGAGGATATAGAGGAGCATTAGTGACATTACATGGGTCGTTGTCATTATAGTTTGAGAAGTAATCGTCATTGTACTGTATGGCAGCTACATTACAATCAAAGTTTCGTATTAAAAAGCACCATTATTATTTCACTATTAACTTTCTTAAAATAATCACGTTTGCATTGTCGTTTGTGCTCATTTGCTTGGTAGGACCAAGGCATTTAATTTTGGGTTCATTTTGCGTTTGTTAATTAAGATTATGACCACCCAAGAGCGCTTGGATGAGATGGTTTGGATCTCTTCCAGCTTAACCAGTGGTTTCGTGTTCGAGCACTGTGAATGCAGCAGTGTTAAAACTCTTGAGGGAGAGCTTTGCCGCCCTTGTGGTCCTACCCGGCTTGATTAGGGATTTGTCGGTTCCCCTGTGGATTCAGAAACCGGAAGGTCCCTGTACCAAAAAAAAAAAATATAAGATTATGACCCCTTAAAATTAAGGAAATATGACAGTCTCGTTACGGAATCATTCTGTCGTGATTCGTAACTGTTAGATCATCATGTAACCGTCGTAGATAATTGATCTAATGGTTACAAACTCCGACAGAATAGTTGCGTAACGGGACTGTAGAATCTCCTTAAAATTAGATTATGTTCGAGATGAAAAAACATTTATTTTAGTCTCGAGTATGGAAGACTATTGAATAATTGAAGTGGGGTGTGATTTTTTTGATCTTGTTAAATGACCAAATCACCTTCAAATATTCTATTTTTATTGTATTTGGTTCCACAAATTGGATCAAGT